AGATAGATTAATTTTGAGATATGCACCACGACCTATGGTCTATTGTGCTATGTATGTCTTACACATGGTTAACATTATAGATGCAATTTTTAAAATTTGTATAAATCGAAAAATTCACGGATTCATGTTTCTTTTATTTACAAGCACTAAATTAGAATGGTATGAGGTTTGCACGCGACCTAGGTATATTGTGCCTTCTCCTCAATCACATGTATTCCAAAGTCAAGCACCGTCACAAACTCAGAAACCTGCCGGGTGCTATTGAGTTAATGTGATCCCTGTCCACATAAAGGCCTTAAGCCTGCGTCTACAAATTGCTGTGCAATTTAGAAGTACTAACAGTTGACAAGCACTGACAACTGCGGCGAAAATCGTCCTTATTGTGTGTTACACGGCGTTGCCGAGTACGACGAATATTTGTCGTTGCCCGTATTGTGTTTAAACTATAACGAACACTTTTATTACAGAGATGCAGTATGCGTATGCAATAGTTAAGCTTTAACCACATAGACGAGACAGCGAAATTTTCTTGTCGGAAAAAGTCGTCTTGAAGCTAGCTTGTTGAACATTTTGAAGACGGCAGCGACATATCACAGAGCTGATGTACAGAACTTCGTTGTTACCGTTGGACCAACCAGGGTTATTTTTTTGAAGCGCGGCCGAAGGCCGCCAGGTCAGAAGGTAGTTCGACGCGAAATAATTATGAACACCCCGGTTTTGGAATGACCAGGGTTTTTCTTTTAAGCGCGGCCGAGGCCGCTAGTGCAAAAAGGAGCTACCACGCGAAAGAACATGTAAAAAGTGTGTTAATATTTTGATTTTTTTTGTAAAAATTAATTTTTTCAAAAATTCTCCACATATATAATTATTGAATGAATCGACTTTCCGCTCACGCATTTGTAATCCTCGCGTCAAAATAAGACGATTTAGCCTTTTTCGGTGGGGGACCTAAACTATACATTTACACGAAACACTAGTAAATAGGTCGATTTATTTGTTTAAAACTATCAATTGTTATTACAAATGATGTATCAGAACTATTTTATGTTTCTGTTGGTAAAATAACGTCAGACTTGTTAGAGCTTTGGATAATTTTACATATCACATATTAGTAGCATCACTTCAGCTGCTCATTGTTGTTGGCAAAATTAGAAATTGTTTTAATTTGGCGAACGCTACAACTGCAAGCCTGTGGCCGCGAAATTATGCTGCTGTTTAAATAACTGTGCCTATAAGAACGTGATCATTTTAATATTTGACAGATGCTGCCTGTCGTCTGCCACCTTCATTGTCTTTCATGTACTACGCTGCGGCACAACATGCCAGTAAATCGTTGCTAGTGAATACAACGTGTTATTGCCGAAAATATTCGAACTGGGATGCAACTTTCTTGTGCGACCATATGTGCCAGGGCAAGTTCATTTACGAGTAACCGAATGTTAGTAGTAGTGCCGCATTTGTTGATAACACGAATATATATTGCGCACCCATATGCGAGAATCGATGCGTCACAAAATCCATGTATCTAAAGAGACTCCACATCTGTCAAAAAACAGGACCTCGGCACTTTAATTAGTAAAAGATCCGATAAGCAGTTAAGACATTTTTCCAAGCAAATTCAATGTTCTGAGGTTCAGATTCATCCCAATCCAACTTCAGTAGCCATATTTCTTGCAACAAAATGTTTGATGTTATAACAACAGGAACCAAAAATCCAAGTGGGTCGTAAAGTGATGATGCAACAGAAAAAATGGAACGTTTTGTAAGACGACCTTTCAGTGCTAGTTTTGCTTCAAATGAAAATATAAAGCATTTGTAAATTTAAACTGTCCTAATTCTAACAGTTGTATTACCTCTTGCTTTATCTGTAAAAGTTCGGTTAGAGTATCAGCACCACAGCGTAGGTCGTCTACGTAGAATGCGGACTTCACGATTTTTGCGCCAATTATAAATTGTTCTAAATGCTGGTTAGCTAAATAGAACAAACTCCGCATAGCAAGATATGGTGCAGCAGCCATTCCATACGTTACAGTATTAGTTGATACGTGAAATTAAATAATTTTTGGGATATGATTCGACAGGAAGCGTCAAATACGACTCGAAGCTTTGTTTTTGTACTTCTCGGTTTTAGCACACAATGATGTAGTATAAAATAATGCGGTTTGCTGAGATTTGGATTTTTTACAACGCTCATATGACCCAAACTCTCGTAGTCGCTCATAAATTCAACGTATTGTGCTTTCAATTGTGGTGATTCGGTTAATCGACGTTCTTGTGCATTGAATCGTCTCAATGCCATAGAATATGACTTGCCCAAACACGTCGAATCATCTTTGAGGGTAATTTGAAAACTATTCTGCCACAAGGTCTTCTTTACAAAGTTGAATTGTATATGTGATCGCAACTCTGTTGTTCACGAGTCCATGCCTCTGGTATGGTTTCCACAACTCTTCCAATTTTGCATCTGAAGATTCATTGGCTAAAAATAAACAAGATGGTTTAGATATGTTGTCACTGCCCGTCTTATAGCGTAACGAAACAATCCAGCCCAAGAGTGTTTTTTGCAAGATTGGTAAATTAGATCCAAGATTGATTTGTCCTACAGATAGAAGACTGAAGAACGTTTCTGTACCCAGCAACATGCCGATTTTCTTTGGTATATAGAATTCATCATCGGCGAGCGCTATATTGTGTGGAATATTCCATATTGATATTGATTTCAGGATCTGGTTGATAAGCAATGTGTGATGTAATACAAAAAGTCAATGGAAGTTCGAAACCAGTGACTTGCGACTTAGTTGAAGTTTTGAATTTAATATTTGTTGACGATGAACCGATGCTTTGAATCTGTATGTTTTGTTTACTTCTTGGCAGAAGAAACTTTTGCGAAAAATCATCTGTGATAAAATTTACCTGTGAACAGGGATCTAGCAGCGCTGTACCCAATCTGTAGCTCCCCGATGCATCACGAACGAAAATTTTTGCTGTTGCAAGGATGACGTTATCCAACGATGAATTATTCCTGTGTGTATGCGCGACTGCCTCTTGTGTTGTAAATACCTGAGTAGATGTTTGTTGGACTGGAGTAGAACCGCGGCGCAGTAAACTGTGGTGTTGTCGTGCACAAACCTTACACCTGTGTGATGATGCAATGGGATAAGCAATTGTTGCAATTTTCTTTGCATGGTCGAAACGTTGAGTAATGTTTATTACGATATTTGGCTATCGGTCCCTAGTGATGTCAAGGAACCATAAATAGCTGAAGACTTATCAATTAAACTTCTTATCTGAATGCCATTTGGTTTCATAACTGCTCGTAAATCAAATAACGAGTTTATTCCTTCCAAAAAAATTAGTGTTTTGTTGTCATACCATACCTTCAACCGTTCTAACGCCTTTGGGTAGTTTTCATTTGTCACTTGAAACGCATTTACAGTTTTTAAGGCTTGAACTTGGAGACAATTTAGCAAATGGTTAAATTTTTCAATATTAGCTCACGATCGGTTATTTGCTTGAACGAAGTGATAAAATTTTGATAATTCGAATACTTGCCATCGAACGTAGGAAGCTTAAGTGGTGGAAAATGAAACTTTGTTATCTTCTGCCAGTTGCGATTGGATAACCAATTTAGTTGTGATGTAAAGCTCTTCCAGATCACCACGTCCTCCATTCCAATGCCCAAACGGCATTTGTATTCCGCAGCTGAAAGAGCCTTTCCACCTGGTCGCAATCTGGCGTCGACGATATTTTTAATGCGTGTAGTATTTTTCTTGGTGCTCGCGCGTTGTCGTCTTAGCTCGTCCAAAGACAGTGCAGATCAAGATCTTGTGTATGCTTTATAGAGCCTTCAAAATTATTTTAAATAACAATAATTATACTTCTAGTGAGTAGTTAAGCAATAAGTGATTAGTTTATTTTACCGCAAAAAATTAAAAAAACCAAGTTATACTTATGTATGGGTATGCATATATGAGTTTCAGGCAATGGTAACGACGAGGCTTAGCAGTGGAAAACTGGTGTGCTGCGCTGTGTGGGAGCAATGCTGGTGACTCCAATGTTTAATGTGTCCAATGGTTGTGAAGTCCAATGGAGGTAATTTCCAATGATGATAATATCCAATGAAGATAATGTCCAACGATGCAGTCTGATACTGACCACACTCCGAAATGATGTGCGAAAGAACAAAAAACTCACTCGTGCCCCACGTTGAGTGCCAAAAAATGTGGGGCTACAAAGATTTTTTTTGTAACCGTGCAAATATCGAAAAAGCGAAAAGTTTAAGCGAAGTTGCAACAACGATAATATACAAAGGGCCGAGTAATGACGCTATGTGTTGTCAGCTATTAGACTAACTTTATTTGCAAAATTCTTTTCCTTATATAATATTCTAAGCAGTATTTCAAAACCGTTCAATACATAGTTTCCGCTAAATACATAGTTTCGTTTGCTATTAATGCATATATACATAAGTATGTAAGTTATATAAATTTAACAGTTCATAAAAGGAAAATAACCCAAGTACATACTTCACCATTGTATAAATCTACAAGTAGCCACTCCTAAGATTTTCACTTATATGCTATAAACACAATACGGGCGACGGCGAATATTCGCCGTACTCGGCGATGCCGTCGGTGATTCGAACACACGATTGTATACGAAGATTAACACAATACGCGACGGCGCCGAATTTCGCCCACCATGACGATTTTTGATTCAGAGCATTGCCATATCAAAGAAAGTTTATTTTCAGTAAAATCTTTAGAATTTTCAAAACAAATGCAAGAAAATGTCTGCGCTGGCAATATTAAGATTGTTTCTGTTTGATTTTATTTCAATTTCAAAATCAAAACATTGTGATATTTTTAAACGCGAAGTACGCACTAGGTGGGTGAAATGGATTTAAACGAAAAACTAATAGAGGAAATCCGCAAATATGAGTGCATTTACAATTTATCCTCACCGGATTATAAAAATGTATTTAAAAAAACCCAAGTTTGGGAAGAAGTAGCGAAAATAGTAAATTTGCCGGGTGAGTCAAAGAAAAGCCTGTTATATTATAAACTTTATTCTAAAGTATTATAAATATTAGAACAATGCTGAACGTTTTTTTATAATTATAAAAAAGTGAACCACTACGTCTCGGGCAAACTATGTTAATATGTTTGCCATCAATAGCACCTAGGCAGTGCGGCATTCCGGTTTTTATATAAAATCTACGAATAAAAAAACTCATTTATGGAATCAATTTTTATTATTTATCAAAAATGTAAAGCCCACCTTTCAGAAATGTTTCTCCATTCGGATTGGTTTGGTTGAGCAACATAAACTGTGTGTAATTCATTCCAAACTGCATCGCAGGTTTCGTAAATAATTTTCCTCACCGTTGAAAGTCCAATTTTGTGAGACCATGCCAGAAATTTAAGACAGCATCCTTGAGATAAGTACCTAAATATAACTGCCTGTTATTTACAATGCTAATATAAATTATAAATATTAATTACATCAATGTAATTCCCAAACGTGTTTCTTCATTTATCGGTTCTCTTCTCGAACACCGATGGAGCTTGTCTTTTAACAAACAAAGAAGAGCATTAAATTTGTGAACACTCATCCTTGTTATTGGAAAAAGTGCTATTTATCCATTGATTTCAGCGGTTTAAAACAAGTATCATGAAACCCTAATTCCTTTCTTGTTAAATTCACGGGTCGTATCCACCATCTTCTTCCTGAACGCGATTTAAAATCTATGTATATTTTACACATGTTTAACATTACATTTAACATTTTTAAAATTTGAATTAAACGAAAAATACGCGGATTCATATTTTTTTAAACTCACAAGCACCAGTTGACAAGCACTGACAGTTGCAGCGAAAATCGTCCGTATTGTGTTTTACACGGCGGCAACACTCGGCGAAAATCTGTCCGACGGCATCGCCGAGTACGAAGAATATTCGCCGTCGCCCGTATTGTGCTTATAGTATTACACTCGCAAAAATATCCCACTTGGTACGGGTTACCTCGAAAATTCTACTACTAAAATCACACTTGGTACGGGTTGCCAACCAATATTCTGCTACTAAAGTCACACTTTGTACGGGTTGCCAACCAATATTCTGCTACTAAAACGTCCAAATGACAGAAATCTGCTATAGTGTGTTGCCGTGTTATGTTTTTAAATATATAACTTTAAGAATGTTTATATTACATATTCAAATATTTTTCGGTTGTTTCAATTCCTAAAGATTAAATTTACATATTATTATTTAAATTAATATTTATTGGGTTGAAATATTATTAAATGTTTCCAATTTTATCAAATATATTATTGTGTAACGGTTTCTAAATTCTATGAATTTCGTGCAACTGTGTGATGTCAAAAATCATTTCAACGGACATTTTTTTAAGCTTAAGAAGCTTTAAAATAAATTCAGTTCACTGTTAATAATTGCAGTGTTAATTATTTCAGTTTAGTGTTATTTGTTATTCAAGGAGACAGCCGGAGTGAGTATGATAACATTAATTTATTAGATTTGTTAATATTTGTGTAATAATTTTTAGGATGCCTAGAAGAAAGTGTGTTGCTGGTTGCGATTTGGAGGTACCGCTATATCCCTTCCCATCAGAAGGGGAAGTGTCCAGGTGAGTTTTATACATAAAAATAAGTGAATATAAGTCTTTAATATTATAGTATATAAATAGGTTTAATAAATAGTTATATTAAATAGTGCAAATAAAAAAGTGAATAGGGTCGTCCTAAACCGTTATTTTATAAAAAACAAAAAGAGTTTTAAAATCGTGTTAAATTTTATAACATTAATTTTAAAGTATTTGCTAATAGTGAAATAAAATGAGTAGTTTAATGCAAAGTGTGCTTACCAATAATAGTTCTAAAGATATTGATATTGTAACGGATTTCTCGATAAATCGTCTACCTGTAACTCACTTTTGAGTTCGATCACTGGATTGTTAAATAAAACTCCCCAATTTAATGGCTACACACTTATCTATATTTCTAATTCCAACAACTTAACACTTATTGCTCGTTATACGATCTTACAACTTCTTGCTTATGTCTCAATTGTTCTTATCACGACAACACTCTAACTAGAACTGTCCTTGCTGCACAATCCGGCAGCCCTTATATAGTAAATCTGTAACAAAACATTGATTCTAGAACATTCTGGCCACTACGAATTCGCTAACTACTTTACTACTAGAACATTCCGGCAACTACGAATTCGCTGTCTAGTTGCTTCTGGCAATTTATCGTCGATTCGATTTTGTTCTATCATCCGTGTTCGTCACAATATTTTCTCTTAGTTTAGTTACGTTAACTTACATGTTTATGTTTTTGTGAGTGAAAATTATTTGTCTGTTGAATATTTAAATTTTTAGTTTACCGGTTTAGTTAATGTACGTTTTTTTTGTTTAATTTCAATTAGGCGCCACGAATGGATCAAGCTGTTGGACGTAATGAATCCAACGGCAAAATATTTGTTTGCGTGCCAAAGACATTTCTCGTTAAAGATGAGGAAGGGACGGCTTCTGTCCAAATTGGCTGTACCAGATTTATATTTAAGAATATTATCACCTGCAGTGAAAATAGACAGGGCATTAGGTTGTAGACAAGTAGGTAGTATAATTGACCAAGTCGGACAAGACATTCAATTAGGTAGTGAAAGTTTAAAGCCGATTCATCTTAGCTCTTCCCCAGTTAGAACTGTCTCGACTTCAAACACTAATATGTTTGAAGTTGAGACCTTGGGTAAATTCCTTTAACCCCTATATAATGAAGATCACACATGTTCTTCCTCTTTAGGTAACTCTCAAATAGTTAAAACATCGGCACATAGTAGGCAAACGCAAACAGAGCGATATTTGACAGAAGGGACACCNTATCGTCGATTCGATTTTGTTCTATCATCCGTGTTCGTCACACTGCCCTCCACCTAAGTCTGATCGTCCCGATTAGACATATTTGCGATACCAAACACAAAGCTTTTATGTCCCCCATCTCGTCTTCTAGGCTGGTGCTGACATCGTTAGCCGTCCTTCTCTTCTTGGAGTTAATTCCATCCGTTTTCCGGATACTTAGTTTCTGGTACATCCCTTGACTTAAAGCTGACTCGAGATTCCATTCTTGATCAGAACGTAACTCCATTGGAACACCAAATCTCGTTACCCACTTGTTGATGAATGCCTCCGCCACTGGTTCAGTCTCTTGGTTAGGAATTGTGTATACTTGTGGCCATTCATTGAAATGGTCCTTGACTACCAAAACATGACTATTTCCTAATTTATTGGTGGGGAATGGACCATCTTCATACACGCCTACTTTCTCAACTGGCGCACGCGAATTGTGCTGTTTCATCTGCCCCTGACTCCTGGACCTTGATCCTTTAGCTACAATGTTCTCAGCATATTTCGCAATCCTTTCTATAGCTGATTGACAACCAGTCCAATAAAATCTTTGCTTCAAATGCTCCAAGGATTTCATGTCTCTCAAGTGCCCTCCTCTTCGACATTTGTACTGCACGTTAAGAACATCAGGAATTCCAACCCTTGGAACAACCATAAGTACTCGGAAGGGTTGCTTATTTTCGCTTTTCCATACTCGATGCAAACAGCCATACACTAACTTTAAACTGCTCCGTTCTGTCCAATATGATTTTGTGACTGGCCTTCCTGTAGTTATTTCTCCAATCG